TGTGTGTGTATACGCATGTGCACACATGTGCATATATAATCTGCGGTTGGAAAGAGAGAGGGGAATCAGTGTTATGGGTACTGGTATACTTCACGTTCCATAACTGACTTCGAATTCTGGAATAAGAATTCTCACCGTAGCTGGGAAAGGCAGCTTTTAAAGACCTGCCTGATTTGGTTTGGTTTGACTCCCAAGCCAGATGGAATCTGGGGGTCCTAAGAGAAAATGGTTCTGTGAAATTAATGTTGTAGGCATATTGTAGGCACACGCTGGTTCCCCTACCCTGGGCTCGTGGGTGCCAGGCCCCAGGGCCTGCGGGGTGTGTGGAGGTGAGGGTGGAGAGCAGACCAGACATCATTCTTATCCTCAAGGCCTCACTCTTACCAAGAAAACAGAAGAAGGTGAGGTGAGATAGATGAGAAGGGAGAGGGGGGAGGAGGAGGGGAGGGAGAAGGAAAGGAAAAGAGGGAAGGGGAGGAAGGAAGGAAAGGGGGAAGGAAGGAAGAGAGGAAAGGAGGAAGGAAACAGTGAAGGGAGGGAGGGAGAAAAGAAGGAAAGGAAGGGAGAAAAGAGGGAAGGAAGGGAGGGAGGAAAGGGGGAAGAAAAGAAGAGAGGAAGGGAGGAAGGAAGGAAAGAGGGAAGGGGAGAGGGAGGGAGAAAGGAAGGAAAGAGGGAAGGGAGAGAGGGAGGGAGGAAGGAAGGAATGAAGGAAGGAAGGAAGGGAGAGCGGAAGGAAGGAAGGAGGGAAAGAAGGAGGGAGGGAGGGAAGAAAGGGAAGGAGGGAGGAAAGGGAGGAAAGAAAAAAGGAAGGAAGGAAGGAAGGAAGGAGGGAGGGAGGGAAGGAGAGGAGAAAGAGAGGGCAGGTGGCAGCAGCCGGGTGGGCCTGGGCAGAGGAGATTCCAGGCTGCACCGCAACCCGGCGCCTCGTTCTGGGGAGCCCCCCCCCCGCCCCCCGCTGCAGCTGGACGACTCGTTTTTTGGGGAGCCCCTCCCGCAGCCAGCTGATCAATTCCAAGAATGCTCCTGGGTCCTTCGGGCAGAGCTGCGGCAGGCGGGGACTTTCCCACGCCGAGCTGCGCGGGAAGCGCCCCGTGCTGTCGCCCCGAAGGCGCCCCGGGCCCCGGGGGAGGTGGGCGCAGGGCCGTTCGCAGGCGCGGGGCGCGGGGCTGAGCCGGCGGCAGGCGGAGCCAGCGCGGGCGCCGGGGCCGCCCTCGCCCGCCCGAGGTGCGCCGGAGGCCGCGGTGAGTCCCCCGCGGGTCCCCGGGAGGCCGGGGCGCCCATCGCCTTCCCGCCTGGGGCTGGGGGGGGGACGAGGTGGACCCCTGGGGTGCGACCCGGGCGGGGTGTGCGGCGGGGCGCGGCCACCGCCAACTTCTCCCGCACGACGGGCGCGTGCCGGTGCCGGGGCCGGGGTTGGGACCGGTGTCGGGGTTGGGACCGGTGTCGAGGCCGGGGCGGGCGGGGGCGCCGCGGGCGGGCGGGGCACGGGGCGGGGCCCAGGCTGGGGGGAGGCGTGGCAGCCGCGGGGACCTGCGCGGGGGGCGGGCCCGGCCCGGGCGCCCCGGAGGAGGGCGCGGGGCGTGGTGTCGGGTCCGGGCCGCGTCCCGCGCGCCCTGCGCCCGGCCCGGCCCCGCCACCCGCAGGCCGGCGCGCTCGCCTCTCCGCCGCGCTCGGGCCGCGGGCCGCCTCCGCGCCGCGAGCTCCTCGCCACCAGGTCTGTTGGGCGGCGGCCTCGGCGGGACCCGCGCCCCCACTTTCTGGGTTTTCCCTTCACACTTTCCCGGCCGGAGCCCCGGTGCGCCCAGCTCCCGGCTCCGCTCCGCTTATGTAATTGGTGCGGGAGCCTCGCGGGGGTCGCGGGACGCGGGGAACCGGAGCCGCGCGGGGGGGGCAGCGTGGGGGGCGCGGGACGTGGGGCGCGGGGGGCGAAGCTGTCTCCTCCCTGGGCGGAGCGCGGGGGGCGCGCGGGGCGAAGCTGTCTCTTCCACGAGCGGGGCGCGGGGGGCGCGGGGCGCACGGGGCGAAGCTGTCTCCTCCCCGGGCAGGGCGGCCCGTGGGCGTCGGCGGAGCGCCGCGACCCCCGGACCCCGCAGCCGGGCCCTGGGCGGCGCGGTGGCCCCAGGCGGGCACTGAGGCGGAGGAGTGCGGGGTCCGGGACCCAGCCCGCGCCCCCGTCCCGCGCCCGACCTCGCCTCCTACCGCGAGTCAGCCCGCGCAGCCGGGACCCGTCCCAGAGCAAATCCGGAAGCTGCTCCCCAGCCTCAGTTTCCCCTCACTGGCTGGCTGACGCAGCGCGTGTGGGGATTAGTTAATGCCGCATGGTGAGGAGGCTTCTGGACTCTTCCACTCGGGGGTCAGGGCTGGGAAATGGAGGGAGGAGGAGGAGGATCGCTTTTGAGGGGCTTCGGGTGGGGGCGGCCTGGCCCCAGAGCCCAGCCCGGGTCCGAGCCGAGGTCTCCGGGCGGGCGGATTGCGGGGCTCCGGGCAGCAGGGTCGGCCTGGCCCTGTCCGGAGGGCACCAGAACTTTTAGGGGCGGAGATGCTTTCTCGGTGCGGGTCTGAGCAGCAGCCCAGCTTGGTAGGGCTAGAGGTGTGGCTCCAGCGTGTGCTGCCTGCCTGCCTAACTGCCCGCCCGCCCGCCCGCCCGCTTGCCTGCCTGCCTGCCTGCCTGTCTGTCTGTCTGTCTGTCTGCCTGCCTGCCTGCCGGCCTGCCTGCCTGCCTGCCTATCTATCCGCCTGTGTGCCTCTCTCTCTCTCCTCTCTGTCTCCTTCTCTCTCTCCCTTTCTCTGTCTGCCTGTCTGTCTCTGTCTCTCTGTCCCTATCTGTCTCTCTCCCTCCCTCTCTCTTTACCTCCCTGTCTCTGTCTGTCTCTCTGTCTCTGTCCGTCCGTCTGTCTGTCTGTCCATCTGTCTGTCTCTCCCCGGCTGGGTGCGGGGAACCTGGATGATCCGGAGCTATCCTGGGGCTCAGCATTCTGCCCCCAATTGCCTGACGGGAAATCCCCGCACGTCTGCACGGTTGAATGACCTGACCCGGGCGCACGGCGGCGGTCCGGGCAGGGCACGGGCTGCGGGGCAGCAGCCTGGCTGGAGCAGGTACCGGCTGCCCGGCGGGCGCTCAGGCACCACCTCTCTGGGCGGGGTGCAGCTCTGAGGCCCGACTGGCCCTCCCTCTCCACCGCCGGCACCGCCTGAGCCTCCAAGAACCCCGCTGGCGGCCCGAGCGCATGGGGGCCCGGGGAGGACCGGCAGGGGAGGACGCCAGAGGAGGACCACCCGGGGAGGACCACCCGCCTGCCCACGCACAGGGCTGCTCCGTTCCGCCCTGAGCTTCCCCTCAGAGTGGCACCCTGTGACATGTCTAAAAAAAGAACGCATGAGGAGGAAAAGGAATGGGTTGTTCTGTCGTTCAAACATTTCTCGATTGTCTTCTGAGCTGTAATTGGGGGGATCTCCGAGGGTGCTCCCAGCCATGGGCATGAATGTCCACCTGACCGCAAGGCCACCGCAGTCCAGGCCACCGGAGGTGACTTCCCAAAGGAAGCCACACACTGAACTCAGCTAGACCACAGTCAGTGGACTCCTCAAGTCCCCTGAGCACAGCGTGCAGGGATTCCAGGAGCACTCAGGAGACACACAGCGTGCAGGGATTCCAGGAGCACTCACGAGACACAGCAGTGTGCAGCTGCAGTATTTGGTCTTCAGTGAGCCAGCTGCCTTCCCTGGCCAGTAAAAATAGTGCTATTTAGTTCTGTCCCCATGATACCCTCGTGTAATCAAGAGGGCCATGTTTGAGACTTTGGATCCAGCACTTTAAACTCCAGTGTGGTTCATTTATTAATCACTCAGCGTTATCTGCTGGGCGTCCCTGATGGACTTCAAATGTAGAGTCATTTTCTACTTCTCGTGGTGCCTCAGTTTCCACAAAGACACCCTCAGCTTCAGAGCACTTCACCTTGATTACACAGCAGACCCTTGCCCAGGAACTGAATTTGTATTGAGCCATAAATGGCTGACCCGTTAGCTTCTGACATACATGTCTACAGACGAGCCGGAAAAGTGAAGTTGTTCTAAGCTACCTGGCGAGATAATTGTAAAGAATTACTAGGACTCTGATGTAAACAATGCCCTTTAATATTTAGGCATATGTCCCTTTAACTTTCCACCCTCAATTTCTGCAATAAGATCCCGAATTGGTGGAGTGGCAGGAAACAATTGCATTTCAAATAGTGTCCCAACCACGTGTTTCCTACAAAGAATGTTGACAATTTGTGTGGGCTTGGCAGACACAGAGTCTAGCCTGAAGTTGCTGTGAGCCGGTTCTCTGCAGTGTAGGATTAGAATGCACCATCTATCCTAGGAAGGCTGGGGGGATGGTAGATGGGAGACACAGAGTGACCAGCACATGAAAGAATCAGCCCCCTGCTTGGTTGGTGGGTGCCCTACCTCTTGAGAAATGCCCCCATCCTTGCTTTTTGCTGCATTGTTTAGGAAAGGAAGTCTCCTGGACTTTTCTGTCCAGACTGATCCTCCAGGCAGCTAGGCTCCCTAAGTACTGCTCAGTAGGCAGGCTCAGGTGTGAGCCACCAGCAAATGTATTTTCCTCTAGAGCTACCCAAAGAAATGACCATGTGGTTATATTTCACCACCACCTTCTGATCCAGTGAGTGACCACTTTCAGAATGTTGTCTAACCAGTTTATTAGACACACGTATCAGAAGTAGTAATTTTGAGCAATAAAAAATACACGTTGTCATATGTAAAATACCTGGAGTGTTTGTTCCTCTTGGATTTTTTTCTGTAGTCATAATTCAGATGACTTCCTGCTGCCTGGGGCTTTATCTGTGGTCATACTTGAAACTATTGCTTAGTCAAAACCTCCAGGCACTAGTCATTGATTTTTGGAGCTTATAAAAGAAACCCCGGAGCAAGATATAAAGTTAACCTTTCACATTAGTCCAGAGTTCACAAGGGTGAGTTTAAAACGCTGTAAATAACAGTGGAGAAAGTATTTGCTTATAAACTTCTGAAGTAACACTGTGTGGGCAAACCAGCCAAGTTTCTGCTTGTGTTTGTTGAGCTCTTCAGTGCTTACCAAAAGGTGAGAATTAAGACCTTAACCTTTTGCTTTTATTCAGCCTGTCTGTGTGTGTCTGTGTGTGTGTTGATAGTGGGACTTGAACTCAGGGTCTTGTACTCTTGCTTGTCTTTACTCAAGGCTGGTGCTGTATCATTTGAGCCACACTTCTACCTCAAGCTCTTTCCTGGTTAATTTTGATGGTTAATTAGAGGTAAGGGTGTCATGGTGTTATGGACTTATCTGCTTGGGCTGGCTTCAAATCTTGATCCTCAGATCTCAGCCCCCCATGTAGTTCGGATTCCAGGCCAGCGCCTGGACACCTGGCCGCAGCCCCACTCCTAAGCATTTAGAAAGCCACAGATATTTTCTTCTTTGCATCTACTTACATGTTATTTGCAGCGTTCTGACCTAGCTCTGTTTCTGCAGCCTGTAGGTGATGGGCAGGTCAGAAAGTCAGATGGATATAACTGACCTCAGCCCCCCAAAGCCGAAGAAGCAACAGCGATGGACTCCGCTGGAGATCAGCCTCTCAGTCCTTGTCCTACTGCTCACAGTCATCGCCGTGACCATGATCGCCCTCTATGCAACCTACGACGGTGAGTGAGTGGCTGGCCTGCTGCCACGCATGTGCCGTGAGCCTTTCCATCGCTGCATGTGCGCCTTCCCACCATCGCACATGCGCCCTCCCATCTCCGCTCATGTGCCCAGGGCAGACACCCCTGGAGAAAAAGGACCCCAGCCTGTAAAAATGGCGGCCTTCCACTTAAAAGCCTAGTAACCGCTAAGTACACAGATTCAATTCATGAGGACTCTACTGGGTGGCTTTGATGAATCAAAGTGTCCACCACTCTATCAATTCATGTTCGTTGTGTCACTGACATCCTAAAGGACGTCCCAGGAATCTGGGAAACCTGATTTGGGTCTGGGAAGATTTGCAACGGGGATTAGTAAAGATTGGTTCTCTAATGGGAAAAAAAATGGTAACAATGATGAATGAAAAGAGCAGTGATTTCAGCAGAATAGTCCAGGGCTTGGCTGGCAGAGAAGACAGAATGATTTATTTTTCTGTATAATCAAACTTCCAATTTAGGATTTGCCTATGTCATCTCCCTGTGTTGCTTTTTAACCATCAGCAGTGATATCTAAGGCTTAGGCTCTTGCTTTAAGGAATTGCTTATTTAATTGGCAAGTTTTTAAAAAAAGAACAGAAGGTAAAGAGGGATTAGAAAATGTGTATTGTAAATATTTCTGTATCCACTCTCCTTTTCCTAGATGGTGTTTGCAAGTCATCAGACTGCATAAAATCAGGTAAGAGATCACATTTACGTTTAATAGTTTTACAGTGGAGGGCACTTAATAATCAGATGATGATGGAGATGTGTGCAATTGTGCTTTGTTTATATTTGTATTCATTATAGGTCACCTGTTTGTGGTTTGGCTTTTAGTTAAAGAAAATAAAAAATGTATTTAAGTGGTAGATGGATTCATTTGAATATTCTAGAAAATGATTTCATATTTTAATCTTGGGGTGTATGAGAAGGCAGTAGAAACTGTGTCTCATATATGTATGTGTGGAGCTGAGAATGGAGTTGGAGAAGGAAGCTGATAGCTGAATGGAGCAGATCACTGTTAGCTGGTGTGTGGTAGGTGTGGATTTGGAAGGGAGTCACGTGTAGGCGAAGTGTGGGGGGACTGTGGGGAGGCAGGATTTGGAAGTAGAGTCATGGAAGAGGGAAAAGTCTTAACATCAAAGAGGAGCAAGAATGAACCCAATGGTTCTGTGGGTGAGCTCAGTGCTTGTCCAACAAGAGCAAGGCCCTGGGTTTGACACCCAGCAGGAAAGAATGCATCATGTTGTTGGAAAGCAGTCAAAATACAAGCTGGGCAGATAAGGTATATTATAGAGACTTGAAACCCATGGTGGCTGTGAAAACAGAGGAAGAGTGAATATTTTCTAGGACAGTAAAAGCTGAGGGGTGGTTTGGGAAAGGCTGGACTGGACATGGTACATGAGATTTCTGTGCGGTGGTGATAGAGGTTTCCTGGGACAGAGGCAGGCTTGCATGTGACAGAGGCTTGTCTATAACAGAGGCTCCTGTGGTGGAGGCTGTCCTGTAACAGAGGCTGTCCTGTGGTAGAGGCTGTCCTGTGGTGGAGACTTCCTGTGGTGGAGGCCCTCCTGTGGTGGAGGCTTGTCTGAGGGCTCTGCATGTGTCTGGGTGCACGTGGTTGAGGTCACAGAAAGGAAGACATGGGTGACTTAGCAGGATGGTGAAACCAGGATCACATTAAGTTGAAAATGATGTCGCCTTCCAAACTCTGAAACCGAAGAAGGTGGCACTGGCCATGCAGAAACAGAGGTGGAGACAAATCCGGCATGCTTCATCCAAGCTGAAGGACAGAGAGCAGGGCAGGCAGGCAGCAGGGAGGCCGACATGGGGCACAAGTGGCCATAGGTGGATTTGGGGGTCTTGGCTTGTGGGGGCATGGGGAGCCTTGTAGGTAGCACTGAGCTCCCATGGCAGAAGAGAGGAACAGGGGAAGAACTTCGGACTATCCATAATAAAAGCAGACCGGAGGAGGACCGAGGAATGGTTCACACAGAGTGTGGAGAGGAAGTGACAGGAGTGTCAACCCTTCCCTGTTCTCAAAGAAAGAGGGCGTCTGTCCTTTGTCCCCTGTGGCTGGAGCTCCCCCTTGGGTTTCTCTTATTCAATACACATTGCAGGATGATGATAAGGAGACGCCGGGGTGTTCTCTGTCAGGGTCCAGCATGTGGAGTGCGTGGCCTTGACTGGTTGTTTGCTGGCGGTGTTTTGCCCCAGGTCTGTGTCGGGAGGGCAGACACCTTGAACCGAGGGTAAGGAATATACGATTGGATCCGAGCCGCTGTCTGCTGAGTATAACAGCATGGACTTTCTCAGCCAAGGGCTTGCTCAGAAACAAAGACATTTCTTTTTTCTGCAGGCTCTGCACAGATTCCTTGGCTGAGAGATGCCAGGGTCCCCGTGCGGGGGCAAGTGAGCGTGTGCCTCAGTTGTCAGTCAGTCCCTCCCAGACCCTCCCACACCTCCTCTGCCAGCTGCCCCAGCCCACGTCCGTGTCTCCCTGAGAAAGTTCCACTGTGATGCTCACTTCTGTCTTTCATGTCTTTCGCTTGTGTCTTGCATCGCCCAGTTTAATCATATTCTCTTCTCTTCTTATTTTCTTCCTCTTTTTATTTATTTATTTTTTGCATTTTATTTTTGAAGAAACTGGATTGTTTGATTGCGGGGCATACTCTTATAAGCACCTTGGGTGATGTTGCTGTGGAGGTTTGGGGGTTCCTACCTGGTGCCTCTGGGTACGTGCAACCCCGGGGTGGGGGGGCTCCCAGTGCCGCAGGTGGTCAGCTAGAGGTGGCTTCTGTCACCAGCAAGCCAATAGCCTGGGATGTGGCAGTGTACCTTCAGCTCTTCCTCAGGTCCCCTCAAAGGAGCCTTGGGCCTTCCAGGCTTTGGACACGATTGTGGTTTGTGGAGGAGGACATTGCTTATGGTAGAACTCAGAGTTCAAAGACGCAAGAGGACTCTGAGAAGTGAAATCCAAAGGGAGAAATGTTGGGCGATCTCTTAGACCCCCAGAAGCTGCTTCGTGAGTGTCTGTGTGCATCTTCACCCTTGTGCATCCTCGCACACCGGGACACATCCAGGGTCTCTGTGCGTCATGTTACTTTAATGTAATAGTTGAGGCCAACTAGCCTTGTAAAGAATGGAAGTTTCGGTGGAGTGGTACATGCCTGTAATCCAAACTATGTAGCTCATGGTCAGAGGCTGGCTACTCTACTCTGTCTACCACACAGTCCAAGGCTGAAAGAGTCAGAACAGGGCTCATGTGGTTGAGCTCTTGCCATGTGAGCACCAGGCCCTGGATCCAGTTGCCCAGTACTTGAAATGAAAAAGAAATAAGTTCATTTATCTCACAGTTCAGATGTGAGCGACTTAACCCCGAGAGAGAGCAGTGCTCTTGTGCAGAGTGTCAGACACGACTGTTTTTTTTCTGGTGACTTGGAGAGCAGTAGGAGCCAGAGGAGGCTCCTGAGAACTATGCCTGCTTCAGTTCGGTGCAAATTTTAGTTCCCAGGCGGACATCTGGTGGGACAGGACACAGAAAGGAGATACTTTGTCCCTGCACGGTGAAGCAGTGTGTCACAGTCTACTCAGGCATTTGTATATGGTCAAGTCTCTCAGATCCGCAATAAAGGACAAGGGCCAACTCTAGGTGACCCCTCGGAACCCTTCAGAGCAGGAGATGAGACTACTGCATTATGGATTCACCCGTGACAAAATCGTGCAGGGAATGAGAACAGAGCAGGTGTCTCAGCAGACAGAGCCCGGAAACACACTTTTGCTCACTTAAACCCGGCAGGTGGAACTTTGCTGCGGGTGGCTTTCCCGACTCGGTTCTCGAGACAATCTGTGGTCATACCTGCCTTGGAATTTCTCCAGTCAATCAGTGTCTGCTGGTCAAATCTGGCGGAAAAATGTTGGTGGTCACTTATGAGATAAATACGCACCTGGAGAGCAAGTTTTCTTACCTTCTAGGGACACTGTAGACAGTATTGCACCAGCATTTTTATTGCATGGGCAAGGAACGGGCACCCTAGATAGGTGGAATTAAGATCTTAGAGGGGAGAGATAGCCATGTTCAGTGAGCTCCCATGGAGTTCAAAGGTTTGCTTTACAGCTACAAAAATTACGTGTTTGCAGTTTCCATGTGTGAAGTACACTACCCAGACTCTTTTGACAGTGTGAGAAGTCATTTATAAAATTCTGGAAATGGGAAAAGGAATGATATGTTGGGTGAAGGGTGGGTGTGCACCCGCCGGGGCTGGTCCACCAGCACTGGGTCTCAGTGGAGAGACACAGACTCCCCATGCATGGGGAGGACTAGACTGGGCCCTGCAGGGCACAGCTACCAAGCCCTTGGTGTACAGCCCATCGAGATCAAATTAATGATCACTTAAAGGAAATTGAAATACAGAACATTCATAAAACCAAAACAGAAACGTCACCCAAGCCCCTAAATCCTGAAATTTCCATTCTTTAAGAGGTTGGTGGAGATTTCTTCTTTAGTCCTATTTCTACACTGGCCAGAAAAATTCTCTATTCAGGGAGATGCACAGAAACAGAAACAATACAGAGAATGCTATATAGAGTGCTATATATAGAGTGCTATATAACAGATGTCTCTGTTCAGGTACAGATATGTGAGAGAGGGTTCTCTCTCTTGAGGGGGGGCATTTGCTGGTACAGTGGATTGAACTCAAGGCCTTGAATGGTTGCTCAGCTTTCTTGCTTACAGTTGTTACTCTACCACTGGAACCATGCCTCCATTCTAGCTTTTTGCTAATTAGTTGGAGATGGAGTCCCAGGGACTTTCCTGCCTAGGCTGGCTTCAAACCGAGATCCTCTGGGTCTCAGCTGAGGGGGAGTTCTTAGGGGAATCTGCTCACATCACCTCATGTCACGTTACCTCATGTCTCAGCACACACTTTCCTGACATCTGGGAGCCAGGAAAGCTGCTGCTGGTGCCCTGACTGTGTTGGAGGTGCTGGAGCCACCGGAACTGATAGGAAGTGCACCTGAGTTCTGAGCGCAGAGGCTGGAGGCTCCAGAGGAGAGCGGATTTTCTGCTCTCTGCCCTCCCTGCTCTCACCGAGGCAGGTCTTGACTGAATTCACGGGTTGAAATGCCAGTCTCTTCCAGAAATGCCCATGGACACCCTGGGAATCCTGGCCAGTCAGAAATCAGGGGATCCCTTAACCCAGTCAAATTGGTATCTAAAAATTAACCACAATAGACAATCATAAAAAAGCTACACCACACTGAATGTGAAGATGTGAGCAAACTGCTCCATCACACATCCCTGGGGAGTGTGTGTTTACACACTCCCACTTCAAAATGTGAGAATCATTTGGGGAAGCAATTTGGCATAGTCCCGGGAGACACGGGCACACAGCCTGGTAAGGATTTTGCTGTGATTGCTCGCAACAACATTTTTCACTCTAGCCAATGCTTGGAGACAACCCCAATGCCAGTAATCAAGTGATAAAACACAGTGGAGTACTATGCTGTGGTGAAAAGAAACAAGCTACTTATACAAGCCACAGTACGTAAGACCTGCAGAATCACTGCTCAACACAAAGTAAGCCAGACACAAAACCTCCTGTGTTATATTAGTACTCATCTTCAGTGTGCAGTCAGTGGAGGCAGAAATACAAGGGTAGCATCAAACATGGCTGCTGGGTTGGGGTGGAGCAGGGATTG